GTTACGAGATTTTTAAATATATTAAAAGTTGGAAACTTATTGAAATGAATGGGTTTTCAGGATAAATTTTGATTTCTAATTACAAAGTAGAAAACATGATAGATCAAAAACTATAGAAGTATTTGAAAATATTAGTGAAATAATTGCCTCCAAAAAGACTCATCCAGGTAGTTTTGTTTTTAAAAGATAAAGAACAGGTAATTCTTATGTAATGTAATCTGATTTAGGGACATGTTCAAAATTTATGGAACTGTATGGTTGAGATCGTGCATTTTACTATATGTAATTACACCTCATTTTAGAAAATGTAAGAGAAGAAACTTAATTCTAAAATTCACCTAGAAGAATAAACAATAAAGAACCAACCATAAAAACATTTTTGAAAAAGAATAAATGGAGGAGAAAGGAAAGATTTTCTTTTCTTTTTTTTTTTTTTTTTTTTACATTAGCCTAGAAAAATGGAAAAGAATCAAGAGTTGCTGACCCTGATATACAGAAAACTTTAGTATATTGTAAAGTAAAAAAGTCAGTTTGGGAAGCATGTTGCATTAATTGATTAAACATTTGGGGAAAAATGTATTTATCATCCTAACAAAACTCAACTTTTGATAGAAAACTGAACACGTAAACCATGAACACGGTTAAAACGTTGCACGCACATGTGCACATATAAAGAAATGCCTGATCTGGGTAGTAAGAGAGGAATTCCTGAGCTTAAAGTTACTGAAAAGTCTGTGTGTGTTTCCTAAAAATAAAGACAGGGAAATGAAATACGTGATTTTAAATAAAATCTGAAGTTAAATTACAGATGAGATAAAAGATTTGAAACAGATAAAGGGTAAATGCCCCCACTTTATAAAGAGCTCCCTGTTGTTGATAGGAAAGAAAAACCATTTTAGTAAAGTATGGACAAAGGATATATAAAAAGACAATCCAAAGACATTTTAAAAATCAGATGTGGGGAAGTATATTCAGTGACTATGTCAAGTTTTTCTCTTTTATTTTAGCACTTCAGAATCCAGAGGTGGTGGCCCTTCGAGGTGGACTAAATACCATCTTGAAAAATGTGATCGATTGCCAATTAAGTCGAATAAATGAGGCCCTCATTACTACAATTTTGCACCTCCTTAATCATCCAAAGACCCGGCAGTATGTGCGAGCTGATGTAGAGTTAGAGGTAGGAACTTTAAT